TGAGACCCGTTCATGAGTGAAATCAACCTTGTACAACTCCCTTTCCTCACGGAGACAAAACATATGAAGCATGTATGGCAGTATGTGCGCAATAGGCTTCACAACTCCAGCAATTTCTTCATCACTAGCGTAATAAACATCACTGTCCCAAACCACAATGTGTCTCTTCGGAATTGATATCCAGCAAGAAACCCAATGATTTCCTTTGACGAATAATGGCGCATATATATCTTCTATCTCCACCACCCACGTCTTATTTGATCTGCAGTACGCTGGCTCCTCGCCGGTGTAGTAGTCTAAGGCACCAGGAGGGAGTTGTTTACCTGATCCGTCAGGGTTGGCAGGAGATTCCAGAAACTCTGAGTACTTTGCTGACCACACTTGAGAAAACAAAGAATCCAAGAAGCATATTTTGTCAGACCTAAACCATTCCGGGTGCTTTGTGTATCGGAGTCTTAAGAGATTAATTCCAGCATCGATGTGCTGCATTTACAAAAGTCAATATCAGAGGGAAGTCTAAATTCCAGAGAGAAGTCTACATTAGAGAGAAGTCTACATACCATTTCATTCAGCCATTCTCTAGAAGTTAGTAGGCAGTAGTACCAATAACTTGATGAACCAGGAACCTTCTCTCGCCATTTACTGTCAATAAAAATTATACATGAGAGAAGTCTACTAATTCATTTGCTGTCAATTAAGTCTACATGAGACTTACGGGTCAAGTTTCAGCCAATCAACAAGAGCAGAGAGCTTTTTTTTTTTCAACAATACCAAATGAGTAATAATCTTGTCAGATTTTCAGATTTTGATAGTGATTATTTTCTACCAACATTTTGAAGATAGAAAATATAAAACTACAATAATTATTATGTAGGTTATTTTTTCAATCGTTATTTTTTATTAGTTGAACATTCTATTTATTCTATTTTTTATCATAAGTTTAATTATACAATATATCATATACATGAATAATATGATTGGAAAATTTGTTTACGAGACTAGCCGCGCGTAGCGCGGCCAAAAGATTTAGTTTAGTTAGCAACACTAATATAAGTGATATGTTGCATATTTACTTGGTATTAACCTTGCATTTTTATTCATGTTGAGCATATAGATTAGATTTAGGCACTCTTAGGTTGCATTTTGCATTCATTTGTCTTTATCAGGTGGTGAAACATGCTTTAGAGTTCTTGGAGGTGTTTGGGATCAATTATGTGCCAAAAGAGAGTGCAAAGATGTCATTTGGCGAGCCGGAGCAGCCACAGCGGAGTCAAGAGGTCGCTGCAAGCAACATCAGTCACAGCGGACCCCTGGGGCGGAGTCAGGGGGTCGCTCCAGACCACAGCGGAGGCTCGGCAGCGGATGTAAGGGGACCGCTCGCGTTTTAGAGACGGGACAAGAGAAGAGAGCCGCAGCGGGGTCTTGGCAGCAGGGTCGGGAGGCCGCTCCAAGCCCACAGCGGACCCCCGGGGCGGAGTCAGGGGGGTCGCTCGCGTTCAAAGGAAAAGAGAAGCAGCCACAGCGGGGTCTTGGCAGCTGGGTTGTGACCCCGCTGTGCGTCTTTAATGTGACGAAAAACTTGCTTTGAGGACCTTTTTGCAATTTTTATTTTTTATGTTTTGAGTTTCAGAAACCTAATTAAAACTACGTTGTAAGCCTCCAGAGGCAAATAATCTTTGTTCTTGAAGAAAACTTCTTTTGATTCAAAATTTCATTGCTTTCATCTTGTGTTCTTGTTGATTTCTTGTCTATCTCTTTACATGATTAATCTGAAATCCAATATGGGTTTAAGAGGAATCATGGAGATTAGTGAGTAATCACCTTTTGAATTCATGGGTTAGGGAGATTAAGGGTGATTAGGTTAGATTTAGGAT